GTAACACCAATTGATGACCATAACTAGCATTGTCTGTTCTTACAAATAGTCATGTTTGGAATAGCTGATAACTGTGAGTAAATTCCAGGTATGGAGGAGACTGTGAGCTCTGTAACCAAATGAAAGTTAAATATCCATGGTTGGTTATCCTTCGCTACATTTATAAAACTGTTCTTAAGATTTTGTAGTTTTTTTTTCTAAAGGCAGGAAGTCATCTACAAAAGTTATAATAGTATTAGATGACAAAGTTGATGAGTATGTGTCAAGAGCTTTACAAAATTGTTAACAGTATGTAAACAATAAGTATGTTACCCCTTTACCTTTCTTGAAGTACTAGGATTTTCACTAAAACAGTGGATTTGATACTGCAAAACTTTTCCCCAGTATCGAAATGGCATATTCTGTAATGCAGTGTGATAACAGTCTTTTAAAAATGAAACCATTATTGGCAGACACATGTATAAATGTGTGGTACAGAGCCATTGTGGTATAATGACTGAAGTTTAAATCCTGGCTCAGCCACAGGGCCAGTCACACAACTCAATCTGAATTACCTCACAGAGTTCTTGTGAGAATAAAGTGTGGAGGAGAGCCATGCCTTGAGGTTCTTGGAGAAAATGTGGGATGTAAATGTAACAAATATAAATAAAGCTGTAACCCATGAGAACTGAACAAACCCTCCTTGTTCAAAGCCAGTATATCTCTGAGTAACAGACACTGGGGACAAACAGCAGAGGAAAGGCTACAGTCTTCCTGCTTTGTTTGTGAATTTCAAGTCAACTCTATGAGGGTAATTCTTAGGGTTGTTTTTTTTAAGGGTTAACTAGCAGTAACATAGCTGCCATTTAAAAAGCACATCAGGTTTAATTTAATATTTCTTACCTTCTTCCAAACCTGTTCCTTCCTTTGAATCTGGATGTAGGAGAATTAATTGCTATTGTTTATGTTTAATCAGTTTTTTCTGCTAATAAGGAGTTCCAGAATGAAGGTGTTTAAACACTTGTAAATTCTGTGTGGTCAAAAATAATTAACAGAACATAGCTTGGCTGTGCCAGTTTATAATGCGTATACTATCTTGCAGTAGACTGCATCAACTGATAATAGGTTTCTTACAGAAATTACTTCATGTTTCTGACAAGCTTTGATTTCTTTTGGTTTACGCTAGAAGTTACATGGGAAGACCAACAGGAAAAGGTGAATGGTACAATAACTGATGACAAATCATTGCCGAGAAAGAAACATCACACTCAGCCAGGTTTGTCAGGGTTTGGAAAACCATGTGAAAGCATGAGACTATAAAATCGTGGCATTTCATGCTTTTGTAATGAGTGTGTGCTTATGTATCTTTTTCTTTCAGTTTATGATTTTTTTTAGTATGTAGAAATTTAGATTAGTCATGTGGCAGTTTTTTTTAGAGTAGCAAATATAGAACCACTTGTGTTAGAATGCACATTAATTAGAAAAAAATAGCTAGTATATTGACTTTCTTTTTTAAAAATGTTCCATTATTTTTGTCATAATCAATATATTTGAAAATCAGGAATTTAAACATATGAGTTATATTGCGTAGTTTGCATTTGCTTTTTGGTTTAGTGGGGTCATTTTCATAGTTGGTGTAGAAAGAGCATTTCTTTTTGGCAGGAAAAAGAAATAGTGGTAGGAGGAGTAGGGAAGAATAAAGAAGAAAAATAGAAAATGATATTTTTGTATGCATGAATTATAAAGGAAGAAAGATAATTCTGGCAGTGATGTTTGGAGGTGAGTGGATTGGTTGATTCATCTTGAAGAGGGATCATCTTAGTTTAATAGGATGGAAAATAAGTATATAGTAAATAAAAAATCTGAATGGCTAAAAACTAGCCATTGTTGCATTAGAGAGCTGTGCAGCTTGGATTTTGTGCATTCTGAGAGCATTCTTGCTGAGAAAAGTGACATTTCACCAATATTATGCCTAATCAACTCATATTGTAGGTGGACAAGCCTGGCCTCTTCCAGATCAAGAAAATGGATCCCCCTCTAGGTGGAAATAATGATTAAGCTCACTTAATCAATTTTAATGTAAGGGAAGAAAAATAATATCAGGGGTCTAGTTTCTTTAACACTAAATTAAGGGGGGGATTAGAGATGGTGGTATTCATATACGAATATGAATATTCCCCTCCCCAGGTGGAAATAACGAGGGTCCAGCCCCCTGGGGCCGGACTGTCCACTCACCATTCTGCCGCTGACACGAGCTCGATGGAGCCTTCCTATCGCACCATTGTCTGCAATAGATTAGCCACCCCTGGCAGGAGGCGGGATGACAAGCCTCTCTGCCAGGTCACAGAGTGGCTAATCCATTGTGGAGAACAGCGAGATAGGAAGGCTCCGTCAGCGGCAGAATGGTGAGTGGACAGTCCGGCCCCAGGGGGCTGGACCCTCATTATTTCTACCTGTGGGGGATATTCATATTCGTATACGAATACTAATACCCCCATCTCTAATCCCCCCTTAAATTAGTGTTAAAGAAAATAGGCCCCTGATATTATTTTTCTTCCCTTACATTAAGTTTGAATGTGAGCTATTATTTCCCCAGGAAGGATTAGTCTGACTGGGAAGCAATTTTTCCATTGACTTCTTTGCCTGAAGAGTGAACTTTCATTGCATCGACTGCTTCTGTCAGAATTGACACTTCTCTATCTTTCTGGCAATGCATCATGTACACAAAAAGCTGTCATAACCTTTGGTGTTATAGAGGCTGTTGGATAGAGAAGTATATCACCATGTCTTTACCGTTATCCCACTTTAAAAAAATCAAAGGGCTGAAAGGATTCATATTAAGCACTGATCAATTATCACCATGATGCTGTGCTATTATGTAAGCCTATGGGATTTTATGAAATACGGTAGTCCATTGAATTGAAACTTTCAAATGAATTTAAGTGAACTTTGTTTTAGTAAGAATACACCCCACAACTTCTTATCAGTTGTATCTTTTTACATATATTTTCAAAATGTCTTTTCATTTAAAGCTCTATTCTATGTACAGTAAATGTGCAAGTAGAGAGAGTACACTAGACCTACTGCCCTTTGTTACCATTTCCATTCCCTTCTGTGTGTGGAAAGTAACTCTCTGAAGGTGAAACTTGCTATGGAAATAAGAGGATCTCCTTTTTGTAAAGTTGCCCTCTACACGTAAATAGTGATGGAAACAATTGCCAAAGAAACAGGGCAAAGACAATTCTTATGCTTTTATGGTATAAAAACTGTAAATGCCTAAAGAAAGCTAATATGATAGTGGCTTAAGAGGGTGGTGTACTGGCAGGAATCCTTATTGAATTCAGTGGTTCTATGATTCTGTTCATAGGCTCAGCCTGCATTGAAGTGATGGCCAACCTATTTAATCTTTTGTTAGTAAACCTGCACCTTGATTGTCCTTGCAATATACTTCCATTCTTTAGCTTTCTCTATAACCTTTTGAAGGAAATGTATCTATTTCAGGTTATTCTGACAAAAGAATTTTCAGTCTTAAGTTCTTTGTAGCTTACTTACCCTTCTAATCAAATACTGTACATGTAGCAACATGTATTTTCTTCTGAGGGAACAGAGAGTTAGGAGCCAAACTATATACTCCTGATAGCTAATAATCAAAACATAGAATTCCTTAAATGCTAAGAATGTCTGATTATCACAGTGGATACTTTTCATACATCCTTTAGCTTGCAGATTAGTTGGCTTTGGCTTATGAATGATATTTGAACTTAAACAAGAGCTTTGTTGACAGATATGATTGCTAAGGCATGAAGGCCCACCTGAATTGTGTCTGGAAACACTGACATATTTTCATCATCTAAGTACCAGCAATCTGTACCATATAGTTTGCCCCTGTGACATTAGTCCTCCAAGAATTTTCCCCAATGCATTTAACTTGAGTAAGTTTAATACAAAATGTTGCATTTAGAATAACCAGAGCTTTGAGAGATAAATAATTGTCACAGATTAATTTTTTTGTAAAGAGGTCTTAGGGTTTACAATTGTTTTGGTAATGTATGCAGATGTATGAACATACAGTGAAAATGTCCTTAATACAAAAAATTGCTGCTTTAAGTAGATAGTATTGAAGGTTAGATTTTAATGTAACATTTGCTCTGTGTGCTTGACTTACACATGACTGATGAGAAATAGAATTTTATTTGGATAATATTGGGTTAGAGCCAGCAACATGCAAAAGTCAAAGTAAGGAGGATGTCTGCTACTCCATCATAGATTGCTATACAGTTGAGAGAAATAGATGAACCAATAAACACACTCTTTCCCCTTATAAACCCACATGGCGCACCCATTTTCCCAGCTATTCCCTTCACCATCGGTCACTTCCAGCTATACTAATCAATGCTCATTTTATTCACATTTCATTATACTGTAAATCCAACAGAGGTCAATCAAACTGCTAGTTTTCACTTACTCTCTTTACAATCTTGACTTACTTATTTGATCAATAATTGACATGTATTTAGTTATATAATGAATATTCATTATAAGTGGGCACGCTTGATTGTGATGTTTCGTCTGTTTTTTTCTGACTATGTCAATTGGTTTTAATTTAATAATGTTTAAACCCTTTAGCAATACAGATGCGGAAAGAGTTAAAAGCTAATTTTTAAGTTTATTCCTAAATAATGTTTAGACAAGCTAATATTCCTGGGTTAAACTAAATTCTCTGGTACAAGCATTTTTTTTTCAGATACCTTTCTTAACCGTACTGGTCAGACCTCTTTAACATTGTTTTCTTTTTCTAGATCACTAACCTTATCTTTCTGATCCTTTCTGGTTCAAACTGACAGTTTATTTCTTCTAGTATTTGCTGTTTTCTTCTTTCCACTGACCGACTATGCACTACAGGTTTCTTTCTCACATAATTGTGGCCCTTTCCTTCAGTGTCAGTTTTTACCTTCTGAGTACATAAACTCACGTCCATCTTCTTTGTGTCTCTGTCTGTCCATTACACGGTGTGATAACAGAAGAAGTGGACTCACCATGGAGAAGAAACACAGGTCTGTCTCTTCTACTGATTTGCTCTGTTTTGTTTTCCTTCAGATGTGTCCTGTCTTTTTTTGTCATTACATTTCTTATATTTCTGTCTCATATGTCTCCATGTGTGATTCATTCTTTCTCTCTTATGTTGAAAGCCCTATTTAGAATTACTATAAATCCATCCCAATTTGAGAGCACAGTACACACACACACACACAAACACAGTGTGTTTGTTAACATTTTTATTTATTATGATACCACATCACTGTCCATTAGATTGAACTTACACATCAGCATATAAGAGGTTAACAAAATACATCTGTATTATAGCCAAGGACAAAGTGTAGGGTTCTCATTCAGGCATAAAGGTAAAACCAGTTTGGCTTTTAGGAAGTGGATCTGTTATTTTGTAGTTCCTATTTTCATTTCTACCTCCCCAATTTGAACTTTACTCCCAATTCTGATCTGGAGACAACAATTGATTCAGTTTCCAGAAAATATAGTTTGCTTGTTTAAAATGTTTCACAATCTATTGTTTGCTCATAGCAAAAATGATTTTTTATTACAACCCATGAAAGAACAGGCTGGAAAAGGAGAAAGTATGTAGGACTGAGGTGTAGTGGTCAAATAATATTTGGTAATGCTATTTAAATGAATCAGTGACTACCCAAAGCTTTACAAATTGAGTTGTATGGCTGAATAGAAGTTTGTACAGTATCATGTTTACCATTTCGGTGTTGATATAAAATTATGTATCTTGCTACTGTAGCACACCAAGAGACAAATTCAGCTTTGCTCATGATGAGAGTCAAGCCAGTGTTCACTTTGAATTCCAAATGTTAGTTATTATACTCCAAGAAAACTTTGACTGTTTCAACAAAATTTGAATAGAACATTCACATGTTAGTACCCAATGTTTAATACTGTATTTTGAGTGAATTCATTGAGTGAATGATGTGAAGAGAAAAGTGGAAACCATGATCTGTTATGATCTGTTAGTATAATGTTGCAACCCTATACAGATATATCAGGGTGAAGTTTCCACTGAATTCTCTCAAGCAGAGAGTAAAACCATTCAGTTCTTTGTGGCCTCTGTGAATGTACACAAATGGGTTAGACTGCCTGCGCAGGACTCCTCGGAATCTTCTAGAGCTTAAATAAAGTGATTAGTAGGACGTTCCCCGTAAAGCACATGCTCCACCCGCCCGTAATACCTCAGTTCCTTTTTGCCGCTGCTGCGATCGACTCCTTTGCAACGTCTAGAGCAAACCTCTCTTTGTATTTTTGGCTTTTTGACTTTGGATTGTCTATTTACAATTTCTGGATCAGGGACTTTATCTCTATTTCTATAGTTTAATTGGATCTACGGTGTTTGATTTGGACTGCTAGTCATTGACATTTTCCTGTGAGTTATTTCTCCCTTCCCTTTCCCACCTATTTTTATGGCCTCGTTGGGCCCCTTTAAGCATTGTACATCGTGCGCCAACAAGATTCCCTTTACCAACAGCCACGATCACTGCTTATTTTGCTTAGGGGAAAGACATCAGACACTCCTGCCCAGAGTGTAAAAAATTGACTAAGCCGGTGCTTAAGCTCCTCTTGCAGTGACTTCGTACTAGTGGGAAAAATCACTCTCTCCCTCAAGCTCATTACTATGGATCCTACCGTAGCTTCTGTGCCTCCAGCTCCTCGTCCCGAGTCTGTTGTTCCACTGGCTCCTGCTACTCCTTCTCCGAGGTCCTCTTCTAAAAGGCTGAAATCCAAAACTCCTTCAGTATCGACGTCGTTGTCGAAATCGCCATCGACAAAAGATCCTAAGAAAAAGGAGACGGTTAAGCAAAAGAAGTCCAAGTGACCTTCTAAACCTGCTCAAACCCAAGACCTCCTGCCAATTTGGGTTTCCATGACATCCCCAATCCTGGAGGAGTCATCTAGGGAATTACCAAACCCGGATTCTCTTTCCGAGGCGGGTGGTTCTGTACCACCTCCTCAGACTCAGGCTCCGGTATCAATACTGAGCCTGTTTCCAACCATGGCCATTCTGAGGCTGATGTGATTTCCATCCCAGCCTGAGCCCATTCGAGCCCTATTTCTATCAGGCAGGCAACAGTGATTCGGCTGTCTAATTCGGAGACTTCACAGCACCAATCTCTTCCTCGTAAATGATTGGCCAAGCATCGTATCTTGCTGGCTCAACATCGTACTTCTCCGGTGCAGCAGTAGCCCCATCATAGGGAGGTTATTTTTCTTCCTCCCTCATCCCAATGCAACTTGATCTCGGGGTATGAGGAACATTTTTACATGGAGGTGGACTGCCGCAGTGGTTGATATCGCTATCGTGGAGATGAGCCCGATCCATATTATGACACTGGCGACTATGTGAAATCTATGTATATGCATTGCCCTCTGCGTCTTCTCAGTTGCCATCGCCATCACCTTCCTGACATTGATACCTATCCTATTATCAACTTGAACCTCTGCCAGCAAAACATACATCTAAGCGTAATCTTCAACAAGTTACTTCCCAACAAGAGCCTCCTCCATCGAAGCGCTCCCGTGCCCCTTCAGCACCATCTTCATCAGGGTCACGCCTGAAGATGTCTCACTCTCTCTCCGGTCAGGGCACAGCTCCAAACGTTCCCGCTCATCTCAAACCACTGCTTTGGTTCAAGTCCCTTGAGCTCTAGCTTCCGTATCGGAAGAGTACCATCGTTCGCCATCTCCCCCTCTCTCTTTTACCAGGGGCTCTTCAGTCTCGACAGTCTCTGAACAGGACCTATCTTCAGAGAGTTCTAGAGAGTCACCTTCAAATCTACCAACCCCCAACTCTGATGTGGCTGACCTTCATCCCCCATCACCTTCTGAGGACTTGACCTCTTAATTTCAGTTAATTTTACACATGGCAAAATCATTGGAATTAGATATAGAACAACCACCTCCTCCCAGACAAGACCTTGTCTTTGATGATATAAACCAGGAAAAAACTCCCCCACTCCCAGACAAGACCTTGTCTTCGATGATATAAACCAGGAAAAAACTCCCCCACTGAGTTTGGCATTTATTCCAGCGATGCTAGACCTCATTAAGGAGTTGTGGGACAAGCCGTCAACATCTCTCTAGATCACTCATCGTGATGAAAATCAGTATACAGTAGACTAGAGCATATGGCAATGATACTACGTTTCTGAATAAGCACCCATCCCCTAACTCTATCATTGTACAATCCAATCAATCCCAAGCAGGAAATTGCTCTAAGGTCACTCCTACTAGCAGGGAAGGTTGAAAGCTAGATGTTTTAGGTCAGTGGTCTCCAACCTTGGGCCTCCAGATGTTCTTGAATTTCAACTCCCAGAAATCCCGGCCAGCAGAGGTGATGGTGAAGGCTTCTGGGAGTTGTGGTCCAAGAACATCTGGAGGCCCAAGGTTGGGGAACACTGTTTTAGGTCATTGCCTCTATTCCCTAGCTTCATTTCTCATGAGGGTCTTAAACTACTGGGCCGCCATGGGAGCCTACCAGAGACAACTATGGAACAAGGTGCTACCAGTTCTCCAAGCCGTTCCTGAGGGTACTAGGAGCAGTGTCATCAATACTCACCTGGAGGCAACTACATCAGTTAAGCAGCAGCGCCTAGTATCCTGTCATATGGCTGATGCAGCTTCAAAGGCCGTGACATGTGCTATTGCCCTTAGAAGGCATGCATAACTGTGCTCAGCGGAAATCATTGATGATGCCAGATCCCATATTGAGGAGCTTCCTTTTGATGGTGTTAGCCTGTTTAATGAGAAAACAGATGAAGTAATGGACAACTTGCACAAGATCCACAAGACAGCTTATTCTTACTTTGTCCAACAATCAAGATACCAGTGTAACCAGTGGCGCAGGCCCTTTACCTCTCAGCAATCCTATCATCAGGCCTACTGTCCTTACAAGCCCCCTGCTCGGGAGAAGTCTACTCCTCCTCCTTCCTCTGCTGCCCCTTCTTATCGGTCACAGGCTCCTACTCAACGTCGAAAGGTCTCCCGTCATCCCGCAAGGAAGAATAAACAATATCTTTGATTATCCTATTTTAAACCCATCACTCGGTCGTCTTCACCATTCCCAGCTGGCACCTTTTATGAACGAGTGGTCTATCATCACCAAAGACTCTTGGGTGCTCGCCATCATACGTTATGGTTGCCTGTTAAAGTTTGTAGACCTCCCTCCAACTGGTCTCCTCAGACCCATGGCTTTCTCTCCTGCTCTGGAAGATGAAATTTCTGTACTACTTCAGAAACATTCTATCAACCCATTCCCTCTCACGATCTTCTGAACGCCTTCTGTTACTTCACAGTTCCCAAGAAGGATGGTGGACTCTGACCAGTCCTAGGCCTCAGACTATTCAATACTTATATTCATCCAAGATATTTTCGTATGGTCACCCTGGATTCGGTCATCCCTCTTCTTTGTCCAAACAATTGGTTTGTCGTTATAGACCTGCAGGATGCCTATTTTCATATTTCCATCCACCAGCTTCACTGCAGGTATCTTCGCTTCTACTTCATGGTTTTGGCCTATCAGTTCTGCACTCTCCTCTTCAGGCTTTCCACCATCCCAAGAACTTTCACAAAATGCATGGCTCCAGTGGCAACCTACCTTCGTCTACACATCTTTCTGTATATAGATGACTGGTTGATCATGGCTGCTTTTTACCACAAGGCATTAGCAGATACTAACTTTGTTCTTCAGATGCTGGCAGACCTCGGCCTGCAGGTCAACTTTGCAAAATCTCATCTCCAACCATCTCAGATCATGGACTATATTGGTGCGCGCCTAGACTTAGTCAAAGCCAGAGTCTTCCTTCCTCCCGAATGAATTCAGAAACTACGTTGAGCAATCCACCCTTTTTGTCCTTATGCCAAGTTTCTGCCGACCATACTTATCATCTTCTAGGTCTCATGGCCTCAACCACGTCTGCTCTCCCACAAGCACAACTGAAAATGCACTCTCTACAGGCTTGGTACCTGTCTCAATTCAATCGTT